CATTCCAGCCGCCCTATAGCAGAAGTACTGCTACAGGGCAGCATGGCTGCACAAAATCATTTATATATATACATGTGATTTGTACTTTCGGGTAGGGGAAGCATGTGCTGCCCTACCTGCACTGCTATTGGCGGTTAGCGATGTCAATCACCAGGTCCCGGCTGTCGATTCCTGGCAGACACTCGGCGATTGTTGGGTAAAGCTGACAGGGGAGAGACACAGGTCTCTCTCCTGTCATCATGCCTCCCTACTAAAACACAGCACACAGTAAAACACACACAGCACACAGTTAAAGGTTTCTTCACAGTAAGAGCTGTGAAAATGTGGAATAGACTCACTCAAGAGTTGGTTCTGGCCAGCTCAGTGGATTGCTTTAAAAAAGGCCTGGATTCTTTCTTGGATACACAGAATATAACTGGATACTAACATTTATAGGTAAAATTGATCCAGGGAATATCCGATTGCCTCTCGGGTGATCAGGAAGGTTTTTTTTTTCTCTTGCAGGAGCAACCTGGATTATGCTTTGCTGGTTTTTTTGCCTTCCTCTGGATCAACTGTGGGTGTAGGATTATAACTTTTTTTTTATGGTTGAACTGGATAGACTTTTGTCTTTTTTCAGCCAGACCAACTATGAAACCCTTTGTTCTCCCCAAATGTCAATCCTTTCCTGCCCAGTGTCATTAGTACAGTGTCAGTGCTTTTTATTAGCACTGATCACCATATTAGTGTCACTGAGGATGTCAGTGGCAGTTAGTCAGTTCCCACCCAGTGTCAGAATGCCCACCGCAGTACCGCTATAAGTCGCTGATCGCTGCCATCACTAGTATAATTTTTTTTTTTTTTTAAATTCCAGTATATATACCGCCATTTGTAGACGTTATAACTTCACGTAAACCATATTAATTTACACACAATTTATGGTATCCAAGAATACAGAGATCCTGCCTATAAAGTCAGACATTGTGGCAAAAAAATACTCTCTAGGTAGGTAGAAGAAAAGGTATGCCGCCAAAGGGCCAGCAGAGTTTCCAGAGGAAGGCAGGGGAATCAGGCAGTTGTCAAAACAGCGAGTGCTAGGACCCTTATCATCCCCCACTCCACTGATCCATTCTGACCCCTGCGCCCCAATATTCAATGTGTAGTGCTGGATACCTTTGCTGCTGCTGAGATGGAGTGGCAAAACCTTCATTGCCAGGACTGTACAGTACTGTAAGCTGCTAAACTGTGTCCAAAGATCATTGTGGTGTGTAATGTGAGAGCTGTGAGTTCAGGTGCTGAGAAGGTTGCTATGAGGAAGTAAAACTGCATATGCATGTGCAGTGGAGCTACTTAAATCAAGGCTGCACAGTTGCAGTAGTACTCAATGTGACAGACTTACATCAAAAGGGGCCAAGAAAATGGTGTAACAGCGTATACCCAGAGATGGACACGGTTCAAATTGTAACACCTCGTAAGAGATAAGGCAAGCTTTCCCAGCAGTTGAAAGAGATTCCAACCTAATAAACCTAGCTCAGCGTAGGTGACAGAATCAGATCAACACTTTTCAAAAACCATTACTCCCCTATGTCTCATATCTTGAAATATGAGAGACTTACATAAAAACCGGACCTATCATCAGATTGGCCACGAGAAGGCGAACAGTTTGATAGGTCACTCGCATTGTCTCGAATACATAGGAAAACAGAAAAGTAGATCTCGTGAACCGTACAGTGTATAATTTCATAATTCATATCTAATCAATCCTCAGACGTGTCTGCATAATTATCTACCTGCGGGTGGAATGTCAGTTGTGCAGCTGGAAAGTTATGGGCCAAAATATGATTATGGGAGATTTGGCTCTAGTTGAGGTATCCACCCAAACCTCCACACCCTAAGCGGGGTATTGGACCTTGACTTCAGAGACCCCCCCCTGCTGGGGACTACAAAATAGGCTGTCAGGCCTAAGAGTCTAAGTTGAAGACGTCTCCCATTTTAACATCAGTACCACCTGGGAAGACCCGTGCCCTTTCGCTCTGAAACTTGGATCTGCTAACCCAGGACTTTGGCAAGTACCTTAACCCTTGCACCTCTCTCTGATATCTCTTTGCTGTGCTGTTAGTCTCTGTATAGTTATATATATATATCTTAGTTACATCTTTTCTGTAAATATTTTTATTGCACCCGTTTGACCTTTTAGTAATAAATCTTTCCTTCTGAAAGTGTTGAACCGTTTCTATAGCGCTTTATTGCAATTTACGAATTCCTGCCTCTAAAGAGAACGCTACTGTGTTTGTTTAACTCTCTGCATAATTGGCCTGCGGTGACTGTATTATGCAGACGATTATCTCAACCATTATGGTGTTTTAGCTGATATTGCCGAGTTTTCTCTTTCTCTGTACAAAAAAGGAGGTGGTGGCAGTGTGAAGGGTTAATTGCGTAATTAACCTGACCCAGTAACAATCGCTCAGACTGCCGGTACATCGATTGTGGTCCAAATAGCTGGAAAATTGTTGTGCAGGGTGCAGCTGGGTGTGGCACGTGGTTACGCACGTGACATCGCGGTTTTATATCGGCTAGTCCTTCGGTCACAAGTTTGGTGAGAAGGGCTGGGGTCTGACGCCGCGATCGTGACAAATGGTACCAATATTTAAAGGCCAGTGTTTTGCTTTATGGCTGTGACAAAACATTTAAAGTGTCACAGCCTGGCTACACAGCAGCAACCATCAGTACTCTCACTCCATGGCTGCAACACTAGATTTAAAATGTTGCAGCCAATGGTCACTTTAACTAGTCTTCCACTGCTCACTGACCAGGATGGTAGTGACCAGCCCCATTTTTGCTTGGCGCTGCATGGTGGGTATTCCGCCGAATACTCTTCAGGGACAGGGCTCCACCAAAGACAGACCACGGCCCTGGACCTGTACTCAACCCTGCAGTTAATGTACCAAGGTGGGCACCCATGCAGGGTCCAGTGCGTGAAGCAATTTTACAAGCCAAAACTGCATTTTCATTCAGGCAGGGTGTGGGTATGGTCCCGCAAGGCGCAGCCAAGGAGTCAACCGATCTGGAAAGCTGGTGAAATACAACGACATTTGCTATGGAGCAGCTGTGAACTTGATAGAAGAATATTTGAGAAGCAAGCTTCCCTTTGTAGGGATAAGAGAGGCAAGCTTCTCTCTTTGTAGTTTGAGGATGTCCATAACATAAGGACACTAGCAAAAAAAACTGAGGCTTTCTTAGGAGTGTGAGGTGTTAAATAGAGAATGTCTCTGAAGCTTTTTTTTTTTTATATATAAAATATCATTGTTAAGATTAGGATCCTAAATCCTGTACTGTATGATTAAGAAGCATATTTTTAGCAGGTCATTGCAGTGTGATGGAAAGAAAGACTCATATGCTGTACATATGTTTTAAAGGGCAAGGAGATATGGGCTAAGATAGGTGAGATCAACAGAGAGTGTATAAGAAAGGCATCCTTTCTAAGATCGATAAAGAATATGAGGGATGGATCCCAGTTGATGCGTAAACCGGAACAGTGACCTAACTCATTAATCATGTGGATAGCAGCCCACAGGGAGGAACCTGCATTCACAAAGTGCACAGAGTTGTCACCAGCATATAAAATAATCTAGTCTGCCAACATCCAGTTCCTGGATATTAATGTAGAAGAGTAGCTGATTGGCTCTATTCATCCATCATAAGAAAGAGAGGTAAAATATCCATTTATGCACACCCATGTTCGAAAACTGGTATACAGTAATTTAATTAAGATCCGTACCACACATTTAGTCAACACTTTACTAATATAGCCCCATTCAGGCCAATCAAGCTAAATTATAGCTTTTTTAGCATCTATGGACATTAGGACTTGGTGTCTAATTTACGCTGATCAATAGATAGATTAGTAAATAATCTTCTCATATAAATGTCTGTATACAAATCTGTAACCTTAAAAATAGCGTGGAAGTTGCAAAATGAGAGGGCAGTAATTCACCAAGTACAGAATATGGAATTCTTCAGTACTCTCTCTGTCTCCTGTTTCCCTCCTTCCTTCTTTCTTTCCCTACTTCCTTCCTTCTCTTTCTTTCTTTCCCGCCTTCCTTCTTTCTTTCCCCCCTACCGTCTTTCCCTCTTTCCTTCTTTCCCTCTTTCTGCCCTTTCTTCTTTCCCTCCTTCCTTCTTTCCCTTTTTCTTTCCCTCCTTCCTTCTTTCCCTCCTCCCTTCTTTCCCTCCTTCCTTCTTTCGCTCCTCCTTCCTTCTTTCTTTCCTTCCTATTTTCCCTCCTTCCTTCCTCTATTTCTTCTTTATCTCCTATAAAAAAAGTAAAAAAAAAATAAAATATAATACTATAAAAAATGTAATAAAAATAAAAACCTACTGACACTAGTGGCGGAACTACCAGGGTCGCAAAGGTTGCGACCAGGCCCTGGCGTTCCAGCACTGGGCTCCGAGGAAAAGATCCCCGGGCTTGGGGCTGCTCAGTCCAAAATGCCCGGGCCTATTTTTTGTCCCAGTCCGGGCCTGCTTTAACGTTTCAGTGTTGTACCATATGGCATACCTAAATATTGGCATGATGTCATGAAGTTGGTCTGGAGACATTTCCACTTGCAAATAACTAGACCAGGTGTCAATAATGGTTTCACGTGTAGGTTTTTATTTTACATTTGTTGTCTGTTAACAAAAGCCTACATAGCATTGCTTTCAGTTCTTCTCACTGAGCACTCTCAGCACACTATGCTGACACAAGCAGCTCTCTATGTATACATGCAATCCGGAGATACTGATCATGTGACTGCTGTGACAGCCAACCACAGTGGTCACAAAGCCTGCTTTCACTTCCCTGTAAAATAGATCTACTTAAAAGACCTGGGGTGGGGCAGTGGCAAGCATGTATGTCTGTGCATATATATACACACATACATTATATTGCCAAAAGTATTGGGAAACCCCTCCAAAATCATTAGATTCAGGTGTTTCAATCACCTCCATGGCCACAGGTGTATACAATCAACAACATAATCATGCAGACTGCTTCTACAAACATTTGTGAAAGAATGGGTCGCTCTCAGGAGCTCAGTGAATTCAAGTGTGGTACCGTGATAGGTTGCCACCTGGGCAATAAATCCATCCGTGAAATTTCCTTGCTACTTAATATTCCATGGTCAGCTGTTATTGGTGTTATAATAAAGTGGAAGCAACTGGGAACAACAGTAACTCAGACATGAAGCAGTAGGTCACGTAAAAATGACAAAGCAGGATCAGCACATGCTGAAGCACACAGTGCGCAGAAGTCACAGAATCAATAGCTAAAGACCTTCAAATTTCATGTGGCCTTCAAACTAGCACAACAACAGTGTGTAGAGACTTCATGGAATGGATTTCCATGGCCGAGCAGCTGCATCCAAGCCTTACATCACCAATTGCAATGCAAAGAGTCAGATGCAGTGGTGTAAAGCACACGCTACTGAACTCTAGCGTGGTGGAGACGTGTTCCCTGGAGTGATCAATCGCGCTTCTTTGTCTGGCAAGCCGATGGACATGTCTGGATTTGGTGGTTGCTAGGAGAATGGTACTTGCCTGACTGCATTGTGCTAAGTGTAAAGTTTGGTGGAGGGGGGATTAGGGTGTAGGGTTGTTTTTTTCAGGGGTTGGGCTTGGCCCCTTAGTTCCAGTGAAGGGAACTCTTAAGGCGTCAGCATACCAAGGCATTTTGGACAAGTTCATGCTCCCAACTTTGTGGGAACAGTTTGGGGATGGCCCCTTCCTGTTCCAACATAACTACACACCAGTGCACAAAGCAAGGTCCATAAAGACATGGATGAGTGAGTTTGGGGTGGAGGAACTTGACTGGCCTGCACAGAGTCCTGACCTCAACCTGACAGAACACCTTTGGGATGAATCAAAGTAGAGACTGCGAGCCAGGCCTTCTCTGACATCAGTGCCTAACCTCAGAAAAGACTGGGATCCCATTAAAGTTCATGTGCGTGAAAAGGCCGGCGTTCCAATACCTTTGGCGATATAGTGTGTGTGTGTATAATAATATATATATATATATATATATATATATATATATATATATATACACACACACACACACACAATGAAATGATAAATTGAAAGTAAAGACTTTGAACGGGCAAAAACAGGAAATGACTGTTGAATTGGCCTTATTATGACCATGGATGTCAGATCCAGTTTGTATGTGAATTCTGAAATACAAAATGTTTTGAATATATTTATAAAGAAATGCTGAGTCTCTGTCATTATTTATTTATTACAGGCATTTATTTATTGCCAACAATTTATGCAGCGTTCTACATACTGTACATTCACATTAGTCCCTGCCCTCAAGGGCCTTAAAATCTAAGGTCCCTATCTCACATACGCATACCAGGACCAATTTACACAGGAGACAGTTACCCTACACCAGTATGTCTTTTTAATTGCAGCAGGAATCAATGTACCTGGAGAAATCCCACACAAGCACAGGAAGAACATGCAAACTGCAAGGCAGAAGCGCTAACAACTAAGCCACTATGCTGCCTTCTACAGCTGAACTCCGGGATCAGGAAATAATATCTAAATACAAGAGGCATGTGTATTTACTTGAATTTCGGTTTGCTTTGTGTATTTTTTTACATTTAATTTATTTATGGGGTTTTTTTTTTTACATACGGTCACCCTAGCACCCTACAGTGTCACCATGGTGACACTGTACTACTTGTGGGGGGTGATGAAGATTTTTTTTTTTTTTACACTGATTCTGACATTCTTGCAGCCATTGAGAACTACTGTGTGAGCTGTGATTGGTCACAGCTTGTCACATAGTACAAATGTAAAAAAAAATGTTTAAAAATTATAATTTTTGGTTATAAACTAATTTGGGTTATTTATTTTTTACTAAAAAGATAATGGAATAAATTGTGGTCAAGATTTGTGATGAAATATTATTTATTTGCAAAATTTTATAAGAAAAACACTTTTTTTTCAAAATTTTTGGACTTTTTCAGTTACATAGCAAAAAAAATAAAAATCCCAGTGGTGAATAAATACCACCAAAATAAAGCTTTATCTGTCTCAAAAAATGCTAAAACATTCATATGGATATAGTGTTGCATGACCGCGCAATTGTCATTCAAAGTGTGATAGCACTGAAAGCTGAAAATTGGCCTGGACAGGAAGGGGGTAAAAGTGTCCGGTCTGGAAGTGGTTAAATACAGGTAATGCTAGGCACCATGGGCTACCTGCTGTTACAGCATACTGTTACTTTGTTAGGCTTTTTGCCAGCACAGGTTCACTTTAAGTTCAAAAGGGAAAAAGGGCACATATTTGTGGACTCAAATGTTGACCCTTCCTGAATAGGTAGCATTATATCAATAGACCACCCAGGGATTATTTCTTTTTTTAGAATGAGGATGTAATTGCCATTGATATGAATCTCCTGTAAAAAGTAGCCTTTTCTACTTAAAGCAATAGTGAATGGCAATAAATACAAGTCAACTGCCAGCTGTAGGTGGATGTCAGAGATGCCAAGGGTCACCCATAATTGTAACAAAGCAAGAAAAGAATCATGCAAAATTTTTGCACAGTAAAAGAAAAATAACCCAACAAATTATATAAAAAAAACAAAACCAATAGATAAGGGAAACTGAGTAGAGAGCTTTCTCTCTTTACCTGAACAGAAGCATTCTAGGAGAGGGAGGGGCATCAATATAGGCTAGTCAGGTAAGCAGCACTGCACATTCACCATGGACCATGTTGTGAGGTGAAGACAGCAAAATGAACAGAGGGGTGAGCTTATCAGTGTGCTTCCTTAAAGCTCAAATCTGGGCAAATAAAAACATTATCCCTTTCTGCACCCCAAGGGTTAATTGCTTGTTTATTCAGTCACAAATATAAAAATGATGCCAAAGACCCAACCATAGCCACTGTCCAATCACATGGTGACAGTACAAGCAGCCACCTGGGATGACTAATTGGTTGTTTATGCCTAGGGGAACAATAAAATTGGATTTACTTTCCCAATCTTCCTCTCCTCCCTGATGCTAGACTGGTCCTCGAAGTGCCTGCCACCCTATGCTCCAGTCTAGGGTCCTGATATAGTCAGGATCAGAGTAGGGTAACACAGCCCTGTTCTGGACATGAGGTTGCCAAGGGACAGTTCACTATCGAATTGTGGGGATTCCCTGCCAGGGAAGTGGAGGATCAGGTAAGTAAAACTGTCACTCCTAGATAAAAAAAGCAACTAACTCTTGTAGTGCAGGCACAGCCCCACTGCAAGGGATCTTTTTTTTTTTAATTTGCCTGGAGTTGGGCTTTTACTCTCCAATCATAGATTGGGGGCAGGGAGGTGACCAGGCTGTATTTCTGTGACAGGGATCAGGCACAGCAGCCAATCAGTATGCCCAAGCACTGTCACAAAATTGTGAAATTTCTGCTCCCCCAGGTCAATGACACAGCTGATTTCAGCATTGGCTGTGGAGGAGCTTGATACTGGGTTAGGTATACTGCACTGAATAAAGACCTTGTGTGGTATATACTCTATTACAGGGGTCTCCAAACTGCAGCTCACTGGCCAGATGTGGCCCTTTGCTTGCCTTTATCCGACCCTTGGGGCACTATTCCTCCCACTGATACCAATGATGGGACACTATTCCTCCCACTGACACCAATGATAATGAACTATTCCTCCCACTGACATCAATCATGTAATTTTTTTTACTCCCAATGACCACTAAGCCTATTCCATTTTTATTCCCACTGGCTACAGTCTGGCCCCCTAAAGTTTGAAGGGCAGTAAAATGGCTCTTTGTTTTGAAAGATTGGAGACCCCTGCTCTAGGTTGTCAAACAAAGCAAAGCTTTTGTCCTTACGTCATGCGTACCTATTAGCCAGTAGAAAACTATTGTTTACAATTCAAAGTATTTCTGGTCAGGCCTATAAACACTATCATTACTAAAAATAAGATCCTAACCCTATGCCCATGTTTCACAAACTCAGCCACAGTTCTCGGAACCCAGCCCATGGTTATATTTTGTGACATGATGCCCACTATCCCTTGAGTTAAAAACTACCGTGGCAGAATAGGCACTGATGGGAGTTATGGTGTTGTTTACTGCTTAAAATAAACTAATTAACTGCATACTTGTTTTATTGTATTTTATTACTTGAAAGGATACAAAATAAAAACATTTGTAGCTATTTATTTCAGTGGTTAACAATTTCTACACTATACAAGTTTTCTTTGTGTTACATATAGACTTTAAAAACTGCAAACTTTAGAGACAGTGACAGGGAAGCAGGAGGAGGAAGGGGTGTGAACGTGTGTACTTACACGAACACTGCTTTTTTATGTAGTAGAGTCATTAATTAAGATATGCCTGGATGCTGATAATGTGAAGCTGTAGTCAGCTTTCTGGCTCAGTGTTGAAGGCTGCAGAAAAGGGGGAGCCTCTGGTGGCACTGCCCTGTTGGTGTTGATTATGTATGATTAATGGTTTAAAGGAACAGGAAAAAAGAAAGGTCAACTTCTGAGTTCAAAACAGACCAGTTACACGGGGAGTAATTAAAATCCCTGAGTAAGCATGATTAATAAGCAATAAATGCACACAGAGCTGTAAAAAAGATGCAACCAGATGGTTGGAATAAAGTGCATTTCAGGCACATTTTTTTTCTCTGTCTGTCATCTTTCATTTTGTATTGTTCTGAGAAACCGTAACCACTCCTAAGTAAATAAACAGAAAAAAATACCCTCCCCAAATGCCCTGAACACTCACAGGCTTTCCTCACATATACAATAGATATTTAGAGAACCTGTCAAATCTATGTTTTGTCTATAGGTCTCCACCTTATGCTTTAAAGCAGCAGTCAACTCAGGTTTTTAGGTTTAAGGTGAGCGTATAATAAGATTTAACTGTAGGTGCAGTAAATATTTTCTAAACTCAAACCATTTAGGATATCAGTTCTAGCCAATGACATATATGTGCAAGCACAGTGATGCTCTGGATTCAGGCCACACTGAGTGTGTCCTGAATTCAGAAGGCCATGCCAAAATGATGACTCCCATGTGGGCGTGGCATCATTGGGGCTCGACCATTCAAATGGCCAGAGACTGAGAAGCCAGAAGGTAGACCGGGCAAAGATGCAAGAGCTGGCAGAGCAGACAGCGTGCCACTGGAGGGTGCCATTTAAATGTAAGTCTGTGATAAATACACGGGGCAGCACAGTGGCTAAATGGTCAGCACTTCCCCCTGGCAGTACTAGGGTCCTTGGTTTGAATCCCAACCACGGCACCTCCTGCCTGGAGTTTCCATGTTCTCCATGTGCGGGTTTCCTCCGGATACTCCGGTTTCCTCCAAAGACATGCTGGTAGGTTAACTGGATTCTGTCTAAATTGTCCCTAGTATGTGTATGTATGAATGTGAGTTAGGGACCTTAGATTGTACACCCCTTGAGGGTTAGGGAGTGATGTGAATGCACAATATATATGTAAAGCGCTGCGTAAATTGACGGCGCTATATAAGTACCTGAAATAAATAAATAAATAAATACTAGCACATTGGGATATTAAACCTGTAGGGGGAACTTTTATACTTTTTAAATTTACTACTGCTTTAAGGGGTCATATCTGCAGTGTACAAATCTACCTAACTTCCAGTGGTCTACTTGTACTATCAACTCATTGTTTCTCTTTTTCCCACTTTTTATGTCCAGATCTTTTCAGAT